GGGGTACGGAGGGAGCAGAGGCTGGGGTGTGGGGTACGGAGGGAGCAGAGGCTGGGGTGCGGGGTACGGAGGGAGCAGAGGCTGGGGTGTGGGGTACGGAGGAAGCAGAGGCTGGGGTGTGGGGTACGGAGGGAGCAGAGGCTGGGGTGTGGGGTATGGAGGGAGCAGAGGCTGGGGTGCGGGGTACGGAGGGAGCAGAGGCTGGGGTGTGGGGTACTGTAGGAGTGGAGATCGTGTAGATAATTGTGGTATGAGAGTCTGGGGGCTCGTGGCCTGTAGGAGCAGAGATTTGGTTGCATGGTATTGTGACCAGAGGCGAGGGTATAAGGTATCACAGGAGGAGATTTAGCACATAGGACTAGAGGCTGATGCGCAGGCTGAGAGATGGGGCGGTACACGCGATGTTGTGGGCCCAGAATGAATACATGAAATTACAGGATCAACTGGATAGGTAGGTAGGAGCAGGAGGTGGAGCTGGAGGGTGAGATCTTATTGGAGCTTTTCTTATGACCACGTTGGGCGCCAATTGAAGGGGCGTAAACGACCCTGGGTTAGAATTAACCAGACTAGCTTTAATATAAAATATTCAGCTTTAATAAGGGGAAGAAGGGGAGCTTACAAAGCCAGGGTTCCAGCGGAGTGCAGGAAAACAAAGAGGAAGTGGGAAGCACACCAGCAAGATTTATAAGTAAATCTTGGCCTTAGGGGAACACACCCCACAAACAAGGTGATTGGCTGAGCTTCCCCTTCATTCTTAGAAACGGTCCCATGAGGCATGCAAGTGTGGCTGCTGTGTCTGGTTTCTGGACTGGCGGTAGGGTTCTCAGACCCAAGTTCAGGTCCCAGTTGTTGGGGGCTGAAGGCTTTCACTGAGTCCCTTAGTTGTAATTGCCACTGATTGCTGGACCTACTAAGTAAGATTAATGTGTTCTGATTCAGAATCCAGTCCATTGTTGATAACTGATACAGGTGAGGCTCCTTCCAGGATGTCACAGGTTTGAGACGCATGGGAGAAACACCCCTGGAGAGGGAGACATGGAAGCTGGGGGTGTCCTAAAGTGGAATCTTCAGGCGGGACTGCTCCCATATTATAGGCTGGTTGCAGCGGTTTCATTATTTATTTATAGAGGTTGCAGCATCTGAGGCTCACAGAGGGCTGTGGCCATCTGAGGTCAACTCAGGCTTGTTGCTTTGCTTAGCGTGACTCCGGGGTGGCGGCTAATATCCCGTCATTGCCCAGAGCAGCCTGTCTTGGTACACAAACACAGCAGACCTCACGGAGGAACCAATGCTTACGAGCCAGCCGGAGCACTGAAAGTATTAGCCATTAAAGAAATCTTACTTCTTTCTGCTGTCGCATCTCAGGCATGTGCTGCCCGAGGAGATTTATTTCTGCGTCTGAGCATTTATTTATATGAGCTGGGGAGATTCTCAGTGGCCTCGACTGCTCCTGAAATCACCCCCACTGGGCAGCAGCTTATTCCTGCAGCTGGCCGGTGATGAAGCCCATAAAATGTTATGCACTGAGAAGAGCCTGAGACAGAGCTTATTCTGCATGAACTTGGCTGTATTCCCCCACCTGTCAAGCCTCTTGGGGTTTTCCATCTCTTTCCTGGTAGAGTTCACAAACCTGGATTCTGGTCTCTGCCAACTCAAAAGGTCTGGTCATTGGCTGGTTCCTTTGCTACGTATTACTACATATTTCTGTTTGAAGGTGAGGAGGATGTTGTATTGTGTTCAAAGCCACTAGGGAGCCTTGGAAAAGGAGAGACATCCGCAGCCTGGATGAACCCGGAAACCCTCGCACTGAGGGGATAAGGCAGTCTTCAAAGGCTATTTATGTTCCTAGAGTGGCCAAGTTCATGGCCAAGTGGAGATTGCCAGAGTGCAGGGAAGAGACAAGAAGGGTGGACAAGTGTGTAATGGCAATGTTATTTCTGTAGGCTGAAACTGTGTATACTTTACTGAACTGTAGACAAAAATAACCTAAGTTGATGAACTTTCTGTTACATATCTCTTTTTTAACCATGATAAACTTAACAAGAAAGTTGGGGGACACAAGTCCTTCCAGGGTCAACAGTCAAGGAACCAGATGTGTGGGTGTTCAGTATGTCAGACTCTGCATACCTCCAAGATTTAATGGGTGTTCTGTTGAGCAGGTAAACCTCTTGTTCAAAGGACTCTTGGTAGCGTCAGGAATTTTCAGTTATCAAGGGGCAGTAGATGTTAGACTGGGCTTCGGGGCTAGCCTCTGTACTCCTATACTCTAGAAGGACTTCTGGGGCTCCTGCTGGGATGTCAGGAGCTTTGGTTGCTGCTTCCTCTAACTATCCCAGGTCCTTGGTTTCCTGCCTTGCACCAGGTTGCTATCTCCGTTAAGCTGGGGACAATACAGGCAAAATGGCCGTGTAAGTCTTTTCTGAAACGATTTTCATGGTCTTGTTTTCTGGTATGCAGATTCCTTCGGTTGCCGCAATCTTTTCCGCAAAACCTCCGATTCCAATTGTGTGGCTTCTTCTTCCATGGAATTCATCCCTGTCCTGCCTCCCAGGACACCCAGGATTGTAAAGAAACTAGAGCCACACCAGTCAGGGCCAGGAAATGCCAGCATCCTCCCCAAGGAAGAGCCGCTGCTGCTGGATATGGTGCGCTCCTTTGAGTCTGTGGACCGCGAGGACCACATAGAACTGGTGTCCCCCTCCCACCATTATAGGATCCTGAACTCACCTGTGAGCTTGGCTCGTAGGAATTCTAGTGACAGGACACTCTCTCCAGGGCTACTGTCCGGAAGCACGTCACCTCTCCAAACTCCACTACATTCCACGCTGGTCTCTTTTGGCCATGAAGAGAAGAACAGCTCCCCGAAAGAGGAGGGCGTGTGTTCCCCTCCTCCGGTTCCCAGCAATGGCCTCACACAGCCTCTGGGGAGCCCCAACTGTGTGAAAAGCAGGGGAAGGTTCCCCATGATGGGTATTGGACAGATGCTGAGGAAGCGGCACCAGAGTCTGCAACCTTCTTCAGAGAGGTCCCTGGAGGCCAGCATGTCCCCCCTGCAGCCCACAGCCCCCTCCAGCCTCTCCTTTGACATGGCTGATGGTGTCAAGGGCCAGTGTTAACACGGGATGACAAGATTCGTGGTCTTTGAGAATAGCAATGGAACAGAGCTCCACACATACATCAGGGCATGAGCAGTCTCAAGAGCATCCTTCATCCCTGCCTCCCTCACAATGTCCCAAGCTCGGACCAGTTGTAATCCACAGACTCAAAGCCTGCACACCCAGCCCAGCCTCACTTAGGGATCATCTGAGATGCTGAAAATCAGAAGGGCCAGCTGTAGGGGCCGTCCATTCCAGTCTGAGACCCTCTTTCCTACAACCCCTCATCCAGCCCTCTCCAGTATCCCCCAGCTGGGCTCAGAGCTGAAAGCCACAACTCCATCGCTGGACCACTCTCAGTTCCAGGTCGGTAGGAGGCCTTCCTTCCCTCTGCTACAAGTGTGCCTCTCACAGACTGCTCTGTCCAGTAACCAGTCACGGACTCATAGGGACCATACCACTCCAAGGACGTCCACCCAGCCTAGGGATTCCACAGAGAGAAGCAACCCTTCTTTCCTGAACAGTGAGTCCCTGAGGGAGGGCAGGAGTGTTGAGTCACACTGCCGGACCCCAGGAACCCCAGAGGAAGATGGGATAGAGCCTCAGACAAAGATGGAACCCAACAGTGAGATCCCACATGGACCACGAAGACTAAAAAAACCCTACAATGTTTTCTCTAATTTGTCTTTTATGTCTTTCTTTTTCCTTTTTTTTTTTTTTGATTGAAACTTGCTGAGGATTGAAAGAACTTGTCCAAAGAAATCTTTCTTTATATGATGCTATTAAATTGAAGTAACTTTGGGGGGGGAGGGAGTCAGGGTCTCCATTAAGTAGCCCAGGCTGCTTTAAAGTCTTTATCCTCCTGCCTCAGCTTTCAAAGTGCTGGAATGGCAAGTATATACCCCTGTGTCTGTCTCAAAATAGCAATTTTTTAAAAAAAACCTCAATGACCAGATGGGAAGTGCTTCTCCCAAATTCATGTTTTCCTGAGAGGCTGCAGCGTCACTCAGGTGGCCAAAAAGCTGACCCGGGTAGTGATGGCAGTAATGTTAGACCATGGTGGCCTGCATGAGTGACAGCAGCCTGGCCGTCCTGTGTTTGTACTGTGGCAGCAGCTCCGCGTGGTTCCAGAGAAAGAAGGGGTTCTCGAGGCAGAGTCGAGAGGACGGCAAGAAGGCGGCACGCACCGTGCAGTGCTATCTCGGCTGCAGCTGGAGCTTAGCTATGCCGGGGGCTGGGAGCAGGCTCGCCCACTGGGAGCACGTTCACGGATAGTTTGTCCCCAAGGAAAGCGGGGTCCCCCAAGCAGGCTCTCGGTCCACGTTGTCTTCTGCACCTTTCCCCTCCAGGATTGAACCAAAGATGCGTTTCTGGTTTCGTGGCTGTGACAACCTTGTGTCTCTTGTGGAATCTGGTGTTGTCGGATCCTGTCCAGCTGGCACTTGATTGGGGGACTGTCTCCTTGTGGATCCTGGTCCTTAGCGTGGGACGGCTCAGTTACGGGCAGCTTTGTAAGGAGGAGAAGGACCGGCACAAGTCCGTTACAGTCGGTTTAGATGAGTTATGGAATAGCCCAGAATCTTCGATCTTTGTCTATTTCAGATGTGATCAGAGACCACAGCTGTAGACATGTAGTCAGGTTCGTCATCTCAGTCCACTGATTGTAAAGTGGGCTAATTTCTTTAACGTCATAAAGCCAGGCTTGGCCACGGAAGGATGAGGCACAGCATCGCCGTCTCTCATTTGCCTTGGCCTCCCTCAGCTCTGACAGGGCAAGAAGAACACACACATTTGGCCAACCCTGGAAGCAAGATGCTCTAGTCCTTGCTGAGCTTGGCAAGACCTGGGCTGCTTAATCCCAGGGAGGGGCTCCCCTACTCCCTAGGGACCATCAGGAAGGCCCGTCTCCTCCCAGCAGCCAGCTTCCAGAGCTTAATGTTGAAACAGAACTCCGCGAGCAGAGGGAAGACTCATCTGCAGATGCTGAATTGGCGTCGTGTGCTTGAGTTTGACGGGTGAAGAATCCTTTCTGAAGCATCAAACTGCCAACTGTAACGGCCTGGCTCTGCCAGTTGGCAGGATGTATACCTGCGTGCCGTGCCCCCCCTTTTCTGTAGCCCCTTATGTCTCTTTCTGGCTGTTTGCTTTCCTCACACGTGTGCGTTTGTGTGTGCCTGTGTTGGTGTTAGCTCATGGAGAAAGCGTTTCCCATTCTGCGAACGCGTCAAGAAAGGTGTCAGATGCACAACTAGCTGCCTGCGTTGCCAGGGGTAACAGACTCGGAACTCAGGTGTGTGGTGAGCCCAGTGGGAGAGCGCGGAGGGGAAACTAGCTGCGGTTTGCGGTGTGACTACACCTGAAAGACAAATCTATGAAGCCAAGTGAAAGAAGAATGTTGAGTTCTTTGTTGTTCTATTATATTTATATGGAAAACTTGAGCACCCTTTTGTTAAGTACAGAGTGTGTTGTCTGTTTGGCCCATGACTGTCCTTCATGAGTCTTTGCCTAGGATTTCAGTCAGCCTGTGGCTACTGATGGGAATGACCGAACTGTCACTGTGTGAAGTCCAGGAGGAAGAGTCCATCTTAGCTGTACGGTTTGGCCATGAGTAAGGACTGTATTTATGTCACCATTATTGACTATATGTACTTTTATAATGGCTGTGAAATACACTTTTTCCTCACTATGGCTGCTTCTTTATTTAATCCTCTTAAAACATTGAGTGTGTGGTACAGAATACCACTGTTCACTTAAAGCTCTTGGTACAGATCTGAGCAGGAATGGAGGGGGGGGACTCGGGGGCACTTTCTGTTCTAGTAGCCCTTGGTTAATTTCACCTGCAGTGAGTGTTTACGAAGGTTGAGGTGGCCGATGGACTGACTGACAGCTCAAGATGACACAGCGTATTTTTCACATCGATGGGTCAGGGTTTCCCAGGGAGAATCACAGAAGGATGGCCGTGAGTCTTGCTTCTGGCCTTTGTCCTTGTTTCTGGTCCTGGGTCAGGGAAAGAGGTGGGTATGTGATGGGGGTAGGTGGACATTTGCTGTATGGATTGGCCTAGTCACCACACCATTCATAACTGTTCACAGGACGTTTTCGGTAGGTGCCACCGTCCTTAAATCATTGTGTCCCTTTCCCACAGGGACTAGAGGCTCAGCAGGTCGCATGGCTACAAAGCAGGCAGGAGCTCCTGTTGCTACTGCACAGGCTCGCTCTGAAGTTAGAGATAAAGGGGCAGGTGTGTGGTTTTGATGTTTTATTGTAAGATCGCAGCATCTCAGAGCAGGAAGGAACCCAAGGTTCTCTAGTGCAGCCTTAGCCTTCTCCTTCCTCTCTTCCCCTTCCTTTTCTCCCTCCTCCTCTTCTTCCTCTTTCTCCCACTGCTTCTTTTTCTTGTCTTCATCTTCAAGGTCATCTAGTCTTGCCGCCGTGAAGTCATAATCCTCCTGCCTCAGCCTTCCGAGAACACATAGATTGCACTGCCACCATACCCAGCTATCTGTCTGACATCACGGTCCTGCCTTGGCCTTCCGAGGGCTGAGATTACAGATGTGTACCACAGCGCACAGATGTGCACCACCACACGCGATGACCCCAGGCTTTTAAAAGATGATATCCCAGAGTTCCCAGGTGAACTGGCGGCCATGTGCTGAGAGGGAACTTGAGGGCAAATCAAGCTGTCCCTGCAGCAGGCACTTCTGAGGTTCCCGGGAGGCACTCTCACGACAGCGCATAGCTGAGGAACAGCAGATTGTTAGGCCTCGGACCTTACTACACTCCACTAATTTCTGATACTCGACAGACAGACAGACAGACCCCCATTTTTTGGACTCTCTTATTTTCTTCTGAATCTGTTGTAAAAAAAAAGCCCCTTGTAATCACTGGGGGTTTGTGGGGCTAAACCAATCGAACATTTACACAGGCACATGTCATGGAGTGAGACAAATTTGGGAAGAATGCAAGGCTGGCTCTTTCTTCGAGCAGGGTCTAGAAAGCCTCTTGGTTCCCCCATTTGTTGTCCGTGGGCCATGGACACACTGAGAATAATTCAGGGCAGTGCTGGGAGTGGGTTCCATTTGATGTCATCACTTTTCCCTGAAAGAAGTGTGTTTCCCGGGTGGCAAGTGAGTGTATTATCTGTGGCAGCCCTTTGCTTAAGGAGCTTCTCAGACATCTGGTTCCAAATGCAAACAGGGGAGGGGGGTTATGTATTTGTACTTCTTTGCTACAGACGTGTTTGCACAGCACTCTCTTCTAGGATTTGGTATTTGTGGGCACACAGGAGCGGTGGGGGAGGGTGGCCAGGAAGTGTGACTGCCACTCACCTTCCGCAGATGCCTGCATCCGAGATGTCACACACACAATGAGCTATCTGGGGGAATCCCGTCTGGGAGTGTAGACCAGCTAGATATGGATCAAACTGGAACCAACTGTAGTCAACCAGCTTATGATGAAAGGGGGCCCAGGGCAGAGAGAACTCCACCAGGAACCAGATTTACTGGTGAAGACGTGAATGGTGCTGGCTTCCAGGCTGGAACCATGTGCCTCCCCTACTTAGAAGATGGCCTATGTTGAAAGCAAGGGCCTTAACTTCTGTTCAAGTCTGTAACGTATATTCAAGCTTCATGCAATAACAAAATTCAAATTTTTTTCGAGACATCTCACCACAGACAGCTGACAAGGGGCAGACAACAGTCTTATGTTGGGAGCAAACTTTTCATCCTGAATTGAACAGAGGTTCACCAGGGTCCTCCCCTCCAGCAGCCCGTGTGCGGGATCCTTTGGACTTTGCCTGCCTAACAGCACATCCCAGATCCTAATGGTCTTCTCAGCAAAGATGTGTCCCCTACACAAATCCTAGTGAAACTCAAAGACAGCCACAGAAGCGATTAAACTATTTTAAGAGCCAGAGGTTGGGGAGGACCCAAGATGGGCACAGACCAGCATCTTCTCAGCATGACTGGACCACTTACTAGGGTTACAAACAGGACCGTGGGTGACTCATACCACCCAAAAGTCTCCGAGTGACTTTGGACAGCCATCCTACCCCAGTTGTTTACGTCTCTAGCGCAGTGACTGGGGCCTTGAAGAGGGTCCTTAAGAGGATTTGCAAAAGCCTTGGGAGTCTCACGGCCTCTCTCCTCCTCCTGGAGGGAATGTTCAGCAGCGTATCTCATGAGGGTCCTAGGCAGAGCATCACAGCCAGTCTGCTTCAAGATGGCAGTAGTCATGCCCAACCTGGAAGAAACTGCTATCTCATATTCCCTTGGCTGATTTTGGTGGTATATGCCAGCAGTCCCAACACTGGAGAGATTAAAGCAGGGAAGATTGCACCGAGGCCAGCCTGGGCTACAGAGTGAGAGGCTCTATCGATAAAGATTGCTGAAATCGGACAAGCCTCATTCCACTGTTATGCAGTAATGGCAGCTATTGGCAATCAAAGTATTATCTTCTGTTTGTGTCCGTATGTGCAAGAGCTCATGCGGGTGCATGGAGCCAGAGGGCAACCTTGTCTGTCACTCTTTAGTTGCTCTCCACCTGTATTTTGAGATGAGATTACTCATGGACCTTTCCCAGTAGCGAGGCTGGCTGACCTGAGAGCCCCGCAGTGTGTGTGTGTGTGTGTCCCTGTCTGGGCGTGCCCAGCACTGGGATTGCAACCATCACATCCAGGTTTTTGTTTGCTTTTTTTGTTGCTGTTGTTTTCAGCATGGGTTCTGGGGGATGGAGCTGAGGTCTTCACGCACACCAGGCAAGCAATCTAGCAAATGAGCTGTCGGCCCAACGGTTATTTTTGCTAAAGAAAGGGACCACATTGGTAAATTCTAATCTCATTTGTGAAGAGCACGTTAGGGTGTTTTGTGTCCTCTTCAAATTCATGCTGAAGCCCTCAGTACCCCAGAATGTGACACCTTTAGAAACAAATTGAAATGAGGCCATTGAGGTGAGATCTGATCATCTCCCAGGAGGGACAGCAGACAGGAAAGATCCTGTGAGGACAGGAGGGAATGCAGCTGTCTGCAGCAGGAGGCTGGCCTCAAAGGACCTCAGATCCGGACTGGGGGACAGTAGATGGCTGTTGTGGAAGCCACCTAGTCCAGAGTGAGCTTTGGTTTGTTGGCTTGTTTTTTAAGGGGTGTGCTACAGACTAACATGGAGAGAGAGCCAAAGAGTAATGTTTAAATAATAATATTCTACAATCTTGTGACTTTTGTCCCGTCTGCTGTGCTCATTTACGCTTTCCCTTGCCGTGAAATGACTTCCAGAAAGTTCCCTGGTCTGAGAATAAAACTTCTACCTCTTCCATGTGTTTCCAGTGTGCTCAGCTAAGTTTAAAAAAAAATCCCCTCTTAAACAGAGATCTGCCAACTTTTTCTATAAAGGACCACCACATTTTCATTTCAGAGGATTATCTTTCTTTGTTCTGGTTTGGCTTTTAAACAACAATAACAACAGCAGCAACAAACTAACAGAAACGTCCTTTTAATTGGTCCCTTTTCACAAGGATCTGAAATATTAAATCCATTTTATCTGGTGAATATACAAAGCCAGACCACAGTTGACTTTCAGCCCTCAGGACGTAGTTGGCCGAGCCTTGATTTTGTCTCCACTGTCAAGTGTCATATTTTCTTTTTTCTTTTGTTTGTTTTTTCAAGACAGGATTTTTTGATGTAGTTCTGACTGTCCTGGAACTCCCTTTGTAGACCAGTCTGGTCTCGGACCCACAGAGATCTGCCTGTCTCTACCTCCCCAGTGCTGGGATTAAAGGCATGTGCCACCACCACCTGGCAAGATGTCATATTTTCTGTGTCATGGATATGTTCAAGGTCCAGAGAAAGAAGGTAGGAGAAAGGAAAGAAAGGAGGAAGAGAGGGATGGAGGGAGGGAGGGGGGAAAGGGAGACAACAGACAGACAGAGAGACAGAGAGGCAGATAGACAGACACAGACACAGAGCGTTCCCTTCGTCATGCTTGGACTCTCTGTATTCTCAGAAGGGTCAGTGCATGCTAACTTACAGTGTTTGGAAGGTGATTTAACCTGATGGGAAGCAGAGGTCAGGACAGACTCTGACTTTTCAGACTTGATCGTTGTTTTGCTTTCGGGATTAGTCTACATTCCATGACTCTAACCAAGTGCCTAAGGCTGTATAACTTTATTTAAAAAAGTTTATTTAGCTCAGGGTTCTGGTCCCAAAGTGAGACGACCTTCCTGGCGGCCGCAGAACATTACCTGCTGAGAGATGCGGAACGGATGTGTGTGTCCATGCTCGGGCCTCTCTTTCCTACGGAGACACTAGTGCTCAGTAGTGGACTTCCATCTTCATGACCTCATGGAGTCGCATCGGCTCCCAGAGTGCCTCCTCTAAACACAGAGGTGTAAAACATTTCCATACTCATAACACCTCACAATGGGGATCAAATTTCAATGCCTGAATCCTTTAGGGGCACACACCCAAGCCGCACGCAAACCACAGCGGATGTGCAGGGTCCTTTGCCATCACGAATGCAGCAATGCTTGGGTCCAGTCATGCTGATGCCAGCCTGCTGATGCCAGCCTGCTGATGCCAGTGAGTAACCCACACTGGGATGCTTTCCTGTCTTTGCTGTGAAGAGGGGAACATTGCCCCCGTCATCAAGCCCCTTCCACTTCAAGTCATTTCCCATTTCTCTTGCGAAAGG